GGGGGCGGCGGAGAGAGCTCGCGGGGCGCCTCCTGACCTCCCCGCCGGTACCTGCCCGCCGTTGGTTGTCGTTGTTTGGCTTTTAGACGGTGGGGATGGCGCCCGTGGAACGTACGCCGTATGCGTGCGCTTCTTGCCATGGAAATTGCCTTGAAACCATTTGTGTTCCTTTACCCCCTTTAAAAAAAAGGCTGAACTCCGAGCAGCTGTGTTTTTAGCCCTAGAAGAGCAAGAAAAAGTAGAGGTATGAAATCTACAAATTTCAATATTACCCTGTTCGTTGATGTTTGATTTTTAATTACTTAGAGATCATTCTAAAATGCTGCTTACGGTAGCGTGTAGCCGGCGAGGAGTTTGAGTTACTAAGGATTACATTTCTTTGCTATTGGAAGGGAGGCAAAATGACTCTCTTTTTGCCTGTATTTTAGATTGTTTGGAGGAATCCAAAGAAAGTTAAGGTCCCACGGTAAGTCTGAGGCTGGTGGTAAATCTTAGGTGGTGTAGATAGATCCCTTCCCGTAGGGGAAGTCTGGACAACAAGGTCATAGGAGCTGCTTGAAGAAATGGTTCCGTGGTCCGCGAGTTCCCGGCAGGATCCTTCAGGACCTTTACTGTGTCAGTGTGCATTGTGAACACCCGCCCGGTGGGGGCACACAGTCTCACCACCACTCTGAATAAAGTATTCGGGAACTGGTTGGCGACAGTCACTCCACGATCAGGGTCTTCACCGCCCTCTGTGGCAAATCCGTCTAATCTCCTTACTTCTTTAGACTTAGGTGCCTGCGCCCCCCCCCCCCCCAACTTGCTGAAGCGCTTCGATTCCTGGCTCTTCTGTGTTTATCCAGGTGTCCGTCTTCTCTCGGCTGGCCTCTGTTCTTGACTTGTCTGGACCCCGTGGCCCGTGTCTCAGAAACCGCAGCTGCCTCGCCTTCCAGCCATACTTGCGCTGGGAAAAGCCGCGAAGGTCCTTCAATTCAGCAGACTGCCCCCCTCCCTGCTTGTGCACGTGTGTGCTAGAGCGGTCACCCAGCGTGGCCTGCTGCTGTGACTGGCTGCTGGGTGCCGGCCTCAGCCGGGTCCGAGCAGGCCCTGCACCTCGCTCAGCACCTCCCGCTCGGCCCTCGCGGACGTCCACCTCCTGTTCCCCTCACTCTCAACGGCCACTCTCGCTTCTTGCTTCACAGGGAAATAGAAGCATCCAGTCCTGACGATTGGTGTGTGCCCCGCCCCCATCTGTCGCTCGCCCAGGAAAAGCTTGCCCACATCTGTATTTATCTGTGCCTCTTTCCTTCCTGCTTTGGCGGAGGAGGCTCTGTCTCGTCCATCAGTGGTCACTTTGTCTGTGTTTTGCCTTCTAGGTACTCTCAGCTCCTTAGCTGTTTGTTGTGTCTTTGATCTCTCCCTTAACTCTTTGCTTGACTCATGTTCCGCTTTTAATACCCCGCTGGCTCTTCCCCTCACAGCCAAGTTTGGAAAGAGCGTGTAGGTCTTATCTCTTAAGTTCTAGGCATCCTTTAATCCGTTAACATCTTCAGTCCATTTAAATTGGTTTTAAATCTGCTACAACTAAGTAACTCCTTTTGCTGAGGTCAAGAAGAATTTCCTTATTGACCGTATTTTAGTTCTTACCTATCTTAGTTCTTTGCAGCATTTGGCATTCTTAATCCTTCTCTCCCTGAAAGTCTCCCCGGAGTTTTGGGACTTTTTTCTGTTTTCTTCTTTTTTCCTTTTGACCCCTCCTTGGTTCCTTTAGCGTGATCTTTGTCCTGTGCACCTCGCTTAAATCCCTGGCGCGTTATCTGGTGGTTCTCATTCGTTCTGTGTTCTCTCCCCGATGACCTTGGCCACAGCAGTGACTTCGGCCCTGCAGCTTTTTTTTTTTTTTAATTTTTTTTTTTTCAACGTTTATTTATTTTTGGGACAGAGAGAGACAGAGCATGAACGGGGGAGGGGCAGAGAGAGAGGGAGACACAGAATCGGAAACAGGCTCCAGGCTCCGAGCCATCAGCCCAGAGCCTGACGCGGGGCTCGAACTCACGGACCGCGAGATCGTGACCTGACTGAAGTCGGACGCTTAACCGACTGCGCCACCCAGGCGCCCCTCGGCCCTGCAGCTTTGATCCATAGCGTGAGCCTCAGACCTGTCACAGTGCCTGCTAGACCGATTGGGCTCACGGGGACAGCTCTGTATCCAAGCGGGACATCAGAGAGGTGCCTGGACCCTGCTCTTTCTGTGTGTCCAGTGAGTTGCCTGGCTGTGTCACACTGTACCTGAGATGTCTGAGGTTCTCTGCTGCCCTCCTAGCCTGTGTTTAGCTACTTCTTTTCCACCTTGCCCATTCCTTCCCTCTAGTCTCCCCTTTGCTCGTGTCCCTCGCTGTCTTCCTGAAGTCCTTCTCCACAGTGCTCCTCGATTGGCTGTTTTTATCCACATCTGATCTTGTCCCTCCACTTTCTTTAAATATTTCAGTCAACTCACTGTCTTAAAATTCCCTAGACCAACCTACTAAGGACCTCCGTGTTCTTTTTTTTTTTAATGTTTATTTTTGAGAGAAGAGAGACAGAGACAGAGCGTGAGTGGGGGAGGGGCAGAGAGAGCCAGAGACACGGAATCCGAAGCAGGCTCCAGGCTCTGAGCCGTCAGCACAGAGCCCGATGCGGGGCTTGAACACACGAACTGTGAGATCATGACCTGAGCCGAAGTCGGACGCTCAACCGACTGAGCCCCCCAGGCGCCCCAAGGACCTTTGTCTTCTTTCCCTTCCTTATGTTTTTGGTTTCTTAAAAACAACTTTATTCAGATAGAATTGACCCACAGTAAATTCAACATACTTAAACGTACAACATGTTACATTTTAACAAATTTATGCAACCATGAGGCAGGCAAGATAGTGGCCAAGTCCTGACCCTCCAAAGCTTCCTCAGACCTCTTTGTAACACCCTTCCCGGCCCTGGGCATCCATGCCTGTAAGTGCCATTCAAGTGGAATCCTGCAGCATAGGCTCCTTTCTGCCTCGACCTGGCTGCATTCATTCCACGTGACGCTTCGAGATTCTTCATGTCCTTTGTGTTGCTGGCTGGTCCCATCCCCCTCCCGCGTAGTGCCCGCTGTGTGGTCACGTGGCTGTTTACTCACCTGGGGATGAACATTTGACTTGTTGCCACGTTTCTTACAAACGGGGCTTCTGGGAACGTTCACGTGCACGTCTTTGCTTGGATCCGTGCTTTTCTTCGAGAAAATACCTACAGATGGGTCCTAGGGGAGGGGTAGTTTCAGCTTTTGAAACCGTTGCCAGATTACTTTCCCAAGTGATTGCACCATTTACAGTCCCGTTGGTGGAGCGTGAGGCCCCCGTTATACCTGTAGTTCAGTCTGCTTAAGGAAGCTGGGGTGACCCACAGGTATTTTTCCTGTATCCGAATACACGTCTGATGACAGAAATAAGCTGGCCCGTGCACTGCGGAAAATCATCTCACATACTGCCGACGAGTGGGGAGTAGCAAGTGTGTAATTTGAGTCCCGCTCACTGTAAGCGTGCTATAAATGGTAGATGTGCCCGGCGACAAAATGTCAGCTTCACGTGTTTGGAATAGTAAACAGTTGTTTTTGTAAGTAAATGTAATGTCATTTTGCAGGAGCGCTTGAAGACCTAGGCTCTAAAGTAGTTTAATAAGCAGTTTATGAAATGTTTACCAATTATAAATAAATTTTTTTAAAGTTTACTTATTTTTGACAGAGAGAGAGAGACAGAGCATGAGCGGGGGAGGGGAAGAGAGAGAGGGAGACACAGAATCGGAAGCAGGCTCCATGCTCCGAGCTGTCAGCACAGAGCCCGACTTGGGGCTTGAACTCACAGACCGCGAGATCATGACCTGAGCTGAAGTCAGATGCTCAACCCACTGAGCCACCCAGGCACCCCACCAACTATAAATAAATACACATTTCACGTATAGTTTCATTTAATTAAGTTTGAAACATTAAGTAGTACGGAAGAGTTTTTATAGTAGTTAGGAGTTTTGGAATGGGCTTGACCATAATTTTGCGAGTGACCGTATCTCATTTATATCTTTGCCAAAACATTAAATGTTAAACCACATGTCGTAGTTGTTTTTAGGATAAACACATGACACAGTATTTCGTTTTTTAACAGAACAAAACTCCTCTAGTCAATGAGAGCCTGAGAAAGTTCTTGAACACGAGAGATGGTAAGATGTTCAGCTGGTTCTTGTTTGTTTTGTCTCTCTCCGGATTGTCAAATGATGGCTCCTTTTCGGAGAGAGCAGGGGTTTGAGATGTTTTTTGAGGTCTGTGATTCTTACAACTCCTCACTTTAAAATTGCCATTTATTGAACAGCTGTTAAGTTGTTTAAATATCATCGGTCATGGGAAATTGTTGGCTAAAAGCGCTCTAAGGAGCGGAACACTCGAGCCCACCTGTGAAATGTCAAGTTGTCTGATTAACAGTTGGCTCCAAACTGATGATCCTACGAGAAAAACGAGGAGACTTGAGATTTTCATTGCGTGACCGTGTTCTTCTAAGATCAGTTTGCGGTGAAACGGTTTAGAAGCCTCGTTTTTCCCATCAGTGGGTTGGGCTTATTTCATGGTGTCCACGAGGAGGCTTCGGGGTTCCCGGAGGGGAGGCATATGCTCATCAGCTCTCGCTTTTTTGCAGGCCGGCTGGTGGCTGGTCTTGTTGCAGAATTTCTTCAGTTTTTCAATCTTGACTTCACCTTGGCCGTTTTTCAGCCTGAAACTAGCACAGTAAGAATAATGACTTTTGCATCTATCGTTTGAAACTTTCTCTGTCACAAGTGGGTTCGGTTAAGCCGAAACTTCATGAAATTTGACAATTTGCAGTGTCTTGCGTAGAGATTTCTTTGGTAGTTGATTATCTGTCTTTCGTAAAAGCCGTCTGCACGGTAGCTACTTGGTTCCAGTGCTGCTTCCTAGAACTTCATAGAACTCCTTCATAGAAAGGAGTCTTTCGTGGCGTGACGACACCCATTAATGGGGACTTTGGGTGTAGGGACTTGGTAAAGGAAAGAGATAATTAAAAAAAAATTTTTTTTAATGTTTATTTTTGAGAGAGAC